TTGGGGTAGCATCAACCTAAAGCTGTTAGTTAAAACTATGAGATCATCCAAGGAAAAGTATAGAGTAAGAAGAGAAAGTGGCCACGCACTGGCACCAGAGGGGTAGAAAGACCCAGCAGGGTACTGGCAATGAACAGTGGTAAGAAAGGACCAGAGAAAAAAGGTTAAAAAAAACCAACCCAGCTTAGGGAGGAAGAGACTTCTTCATGAAGTGAGTGATTAAGGATGCCGTATGCCCTGGAATGGTCAAGTGTGGGCCTGATGAATGGTCACTGAAGGGATGGCTTGTGATTGTCTCTAGTGAGCTATTAGGGGAGCTTTTCTAGTAGGGTGCTGGGAGCAGAAGCCAGGCTGAATTTGGTTGGAAATTGCAAAAGAGGCAAGTAAGTGGAAGCCATTCTTTCAGGCTGACCTGGAATTTACTATGGCTAATCCTCCACGGGGCCTGAGGGGCTTTGCAGCTCATTTAGCAAGTTCCCCTCCCCAGCCACGTCCCTTGCAATCTCCTCTCAGCTACCTGTGTTCCCACCCTTGGAAAGCCTGAAGAGAATCCGGAAAAAACGCCCAGGGTCTTGATTCAGCTTCAGATGAGCTTGTGAGATCTTCAGTCCTGTGGAAAGAGTGGGACCCAGCACCAGCCAAGCAGCCAGATGCAGGGCTAGATTCCAAGGGGGCCAGGATTCTGGCAGGGGAACAGGAAGGCTTAGATGCTGCGTCCCAGCCAAAGTCCGTCAGGAACGGCAGGAGTCAAATGCTGGTTAGACCCAGTACACCTATCCAGCGCAGATGGCTTGGAGCAGAAACCTGGCACGGCACCAGAACTTAGAGTCATGGCAGGGATAAGACTGCAGTAAAGGCAGGACACGAGCAAGCATGGAGCTGAGGCAATTGTTGTCAACAGCCACAGGCACCTGGAACTGGCCTTCATTGTATGTGACAGGCTGGCACAGAGACCCAGAAGGAGGACACACAGAAGAAAGATCTTTTCATTTTCTAGGAAAGCCAAAAACGTGGTCTTTCCCACATCCAGCACAATGGGGGAGGTGGAGGGATGGGTTGATACCTTGCACAGCCCAGCAGCCCCTCCAGGAGCATGCTGGAGGTACCTGGCCACTCTCTTCAGAGTGGATGATGCCCCTGCCTAAAATCAGGCTCAGCAAGTGTTGCTGTTTTGGGGCACCTCCAGATGTGGGAGGAGGCAGGCACCCCAAACCAGACCAGTTTCTTGCCCAAGAACTGTGTCCGATGACACCATGCTCCAGGTACTGCTTTGAAAGAACTCGCAGGAGTCCCGAGAGGAAGTAGCCCAAGTTGTGGAACCTGGAAGCCTGCTCTGGCTACAATCCCAATTCACTCCTCAGGCACATCTGCTAACTGAAAATGTTCTGTACCCCAGCATGAGCAAGTGCCAAAGCAGAGTTGGGAAGGGGTCCAATGAATGGGCATACAGCCAGATGGGGCAGCTGGGCTTCTCCTGTGACTCACCCAACCACCTGGGCAGGCTCCTCACTGGGGCTGAACCCTGCCCACCACTTGCAGGCTCCACTGGCTACCTTGGAAGGAGTCAGAGTCCCATCAGCTTGAAGCCCCAAGCTCCACTGAGAGACATCTGGTACCAGTGAACCTGAATGTACTCAGAACCCATTTCCATGTTGGTTCCAGGGCATCAGGATGCTTCGTGGCCCTCACGCCAGCTTCAGTTGTCCCCAGTTTGAACCATTCAGCTAGACAGTTTTCCACATGGACTTCTGCACCATTCCAGTGAGAGCAGAAAGTTTCAAGCTTTGACCCTATCTATAGCAGGCACTGCTACCACAAAATAATCTGTCTCCACACTTTCTTCAGTTGCATGAATTCAAAAGTCTGACTTCAACCCAGTTTGTATTCTGTTGTTAGAGAGTGAATTTCAAAGCCATCCATGTGCACATTATCTTTTCTATTGTCTACCACCACGAGACCAATGACCACATGGGTGTCCAATGGGATCTTTTAAAATAATAATATACAGGTAGATACACTCGTGTATATGTATATATATGAAGTACACATACATACGTGCATACCCTGCCTTGTTACAACAATAGGCCACTTAAAAGTATTCATAAAATGCAATCAGATTGATAAGATTAGAAGCAGGTAAGTAATAAAAAAGGAAAACAAACAAACATGGCTAATATGTGATTATGTCTTGAATTTTACACTCCTATTACATGTGGGCACAAATTTGGTTCTAAACCTGCTAACAAGCTGTCTTGAAAAAGGCAACCTCACTAATTACATATCAGTGTTCATTTTATAGGAAATAAACTAATTACTCAGACTAAAGCATAATGATTCCTGATGCTAAGACCTTATGGGGAGGTCAGGTGGTTGCTGCTGGCAGAGTGGCCTAAGCAGGTGAGACACAGTCATGGGGTCCAGAAAGAAATCCTCCCATGATCTTACGAAGACACTGCATGTTGTAAAGACTTTGGCAGGGTTCTCACAGACAACAAGGTTCTGTTTCTTATTTTCCCTCCCCTCTTGACCAGCAGCATCCTGGCAAATGTCTTTCAGTAAAAGAAACTGGGTTAGGAATGCCTTTCTCTACTGGTTTGGTTTAATCCAGTGATACGCTCTAGGGCAGTGGTCTTTGCTGCACATTTCAGGCACCTGGGGAGCTTTTAAAAATTCTGGTACCCAAGCTGCACCCCATAAATCAAAATTTCTGGGGATGGTAACCAGGGCATTGAGATTAAAAAATAAGAACAGGTGATTCTAATGTGCATCAAAGTTTGAGATCCATTTTTAGAGTACCTATGACCAGAGTTGATACTGAGCCTCTACACACATGTGCATACTGGTTGTTAAAATATGTTTAGTAAAAAAAAAAAAAAAAAAGGTTAGTACATAGCATCTGCATGAACTCCATGACTGTGTCTCACCTGCTTAGGCCACTCCGCCAGCAGCAGCCACATGATCTCCCCATAATCTCACAACTACGGGGTTAAGTAACACTGTGGAACAGGAGGCCTTGAAGACCCTGTTCCAGGGCTACAGCCAGTATCTGTTCTGGTTGATGATGCCCTTGCTATGCAGGTTGAGTATTTTGAATATAGTCCCTTCCTATAGTAATGGATGGATTATAAATTTACCAGGGGATCCTCTGTACATTTTTTTTTCTGCTTTTGGTTGTTGTTGTTTTGTAAGTTCAAAGTTCTATGCTGCCAGGTAAAAGGAACTCTATATGCCTTCACTGGCTGGGGCCAGGTTGACGTCCTCTATATCCCAACAAGGAAATGTGTGTACATGGCAGGTCATCTGGCTCCATTTAGAGATGAGTTGAGGGAGTATCCTCAGGCACAACCCTGGACCTGTCCTGAGATCAATAGGCCTTACCTGCCAATTCCATCTGTATGGAATGTGCATACAAAATCATTATGCATGTCCTTCACCAGGAACATTCTCTACCCCAGAAATTATGGGTTCACCCTTCTTGTTTTTCTGAAGCTACTGGCACCACCAAACCACAAAAGGCAGACAGATCCAAAAGGGTTCATGAGCCATCCTAGAGGACACCAGGAGCTATTGTTACCAACCAGGGTACCAGTAAACACACTAGCTAGTGCCAAGGGACTGAGAAGGCCATCCACTTAATTTTCACATTTCTCTGATGAAAGTACTAACATTATCCGCAGGGTCCTCAGATCCTCAGTGTCCAGAGAGTCTACATTCAGACAAGGGAAGAGAAGCGTATTAACCTGACCATCGGTAGCAGAGCCTATTTGTTGCCCAACACATCTGTGATCATTAAATGCCCTGTGCGACGATTCCAGAAATCTCTGATCCAGTGGGAGAAGGATGGCCATTGTCTGCAGAACTCCAAACGACTTGGCATCACCAAGTCAGGCTCACTAAAGATCCACAGTCTTGCGGCCACTGACATTGGTGTGTACAGGTGCATTGCAGGCTCTGCACAGGAAACAGTTGTTCTCAAGCTTATCGGTACTGACAACCGGCTCATCGCACGCCCAGCCCTCAGACAGCACATGAGGGAATATCCCGGGATGGACCACAGCAAAGCCAATAGTTTGGGAGCCACGTGGCATAAAATGCGACAAATGTGGAGTAACAAAAATGAGCTTTATCTGGAGGATGGCCAAAATAATAACCAGCCTTTCTTGAGCGCCCTGTTAGGCCACTGTAGTAATTCTGCAGGAAACACCCACTCCTGGGAGTTTAAGAATAAGCAGTTTGAAGCAGCAGTTAAACAGGGAGCATATAGCATGGATACAGCCCAGTTTGAGGAGCTAATGAGAAACATGAGTCAGCTCATGGAAACCGGAGAAGTCAGCGATGACCTTGCATCCCAGGTGATATATCAGCTGGTGGCCGAGTTGGCAAAGGCACAGCCAACACGCATGCAATGGAGAGGCATCCAGGAAGAGGTGCCTCCCGCAGCTCAGCTCAGGGGGGAAACAGGAAGTGTGCCCCAAAACTCAAATGGGAAAAACTCAGGCAAGCTGACATTCAAGCCAAAGGGACCTGTTCTCATGAGGCAAAGCCAACCCACCTCAGTTTCATTTAATAAAACAATAAATTCAAGGATTGGAAATACAGTATACATTACAAAAAAGACGGAGGTCATCAATATACTGTGTGACCTCCTCACCCTCAGTGAGGCCACGTATACGTGGACCAAGGATGGAGCATTGTTACAACCCTCAGTAAAGTAAGTAAAATAATACAGTAGTGTCATTTTTGTAGTACCTTTTTAATGGCTATTCCAGATTTCTTAAAAATATTTTTAAATTCCTTCTAAGAACGTGTTTCCAACAGGATTCCTTAATGGCTATTCCAGTTTTCTTAAAAATATTTTTAAATTCCTTCTAAGAACGTGTTTCCAACAGGATTCTTTAGGAAAGAAACTAAAAAATATTAGGATGTGTTTTCCATATATGCATTGGAATTTTTTAAATTAAGCATCATATTATCTCAATTACTATCATATACGTATGATACAAAACTGTATAGTAAAAATGAGTTTAGAAGTATGTATAGACTCTGCCTTTGCACAACATTTAACATTTAAAAATAAAATTAATATAAGGTTACTCTAAAAAGTAAGCATATTGGTGGTAGCCCTACATTATCTTGGAACTGCAAATCTGAATTTACAGAGCTCTTCCATATCTAGGAAATGTAACATCTTATTTGAGCTCACATCAGTCTAGTACTGCTGGCAGGGCAGGGGTTGACAGTTTTCTTATGAGGTCACTGAGAAACAGAATCCCTGTTAGGACTTCCTGGCCAAGCAGTGCCAGAGGCCATATCTCCTGAACACCACCAGCAATGTTTGAAAGCACACAGATTGTAGCCTTAGTAGAAAGATTAGGTATCTGAAGTAATTTTCTGTCATGCAATTTTTTATGTCATACAATCCAAAAATAAGAACCAAGGTTTTCTGAGATGTTCAAGACAGAATATTAAGTTATATTTTATTGTGATCTTTAGGTCATTGCAAAAAATGACACCTTTTATTCATTTTGCATAAACAACAGGGATAACAGATATTAATTCACTTTTGCATTCTTTACTGTCTTCAAATCTTGCTGTTTGTACACTAAGGACTGTAGACATTGTGCTTTCTTTTAATTTTCAATTAAGAGCTCAATGTGCACCTTATGTGCCTTGTGGGATTGTTAAAAGACACAAACAAAACAACAGATGTGAAATTGTTTTGCAGACCATAAGGTACTTTCAAAATGCAAGTTTTATTTTTATCTTGTTCTTTGTACATTGAGCCTGATATGTGAAACATCAGAAGAAATCCAAGTAAAATTCAGTTTTTTTATAATAAATTATTAGGCTATGTTTTAAAATAAAAAGGTAGAAAAAAATCTGATTTGGGGATTTTTTATCCTAGACCTCTGAGCACAAGAGTGCAATGAAATTTAATAAGTGGAATAAACCTTAAAGCTTAGTGGTTCTCAAACCTTTTGGTCATATGGCCCCTTAAAACTTAAAAATGATTGAGGATCCCAAAGAGCTTTTGTTAATGTGATTTGTATCTATTGCTATTTACCTTATTAGAAATTAAAACCAAGAAACATTTACAGTATCTCTATTAATCCATTGAGGAAAACAATAATAAGCCCATTATGTGTTCACATAAGTAACATATTTTTTGAAAAGCAATGTCCTCCCCTCCGAATTACCATTGGCAGTGGAATTGTTTCACATCTTTGCAAATCTCTTTAATGTCAGGCTTAATAAGAGACAGCTGGATTCTTATACATGCTTCTGCAACTGTTGTGATATGTTTTAGTTGAAGTATATGGAGAAAAAAAAGTTTCCTCATACAGATACATTAGTTGGAAAAAGAAGGAATATTTTCATACCCTTTTCAAATAATTCTGGATATTCCTCTTTAATACTACACTAAAACTGGACAAATGGTAGTTTCTCAAAAGTTAGTTGGAATGTGGAATCTGAAACCATAATAATGGAATTTTGGTACTCTGTTAATGAAATCTACTGGTTTATCTTACGCTTTGAATAGAATTTTTACCCATGCAAGATTTTGTAACCTCATACATTGGTCATTTGGAAAATATTGGCTCACTAAGTTATACAGATCTTCCACATGTTGAAACATGTCATTATACAATATAAAAATACACATATTCTTTAATACCACCACCCATCTCATCAGAATATTCTCTAAGTTTTGGGAAACTGTCAAACTAACAATGGTGGATACCAGTTTTCCAAAATTCTAATTTTCCCTTGAAAGCTTAAATTTTATCATTGGCAGCAAACTCTTAACAGTTATTTTCCTTGAATTGATCTGTTCACTTTGTTCATTAAAAAAAAAAAAGAAGATATCTGCTATGTCCCCACGTTGGAATCATGATGTGCACTTCTTTGTCATAGTTTGTCTGTCAGTCATTCTTTCAAGTAAAATATCATCTCCCATGGGAAGAGCCAGTTAGCTGGCAGTTCAAACCATCACACCAACATACTTCAGCAGAAGTGCTTCGTGTGTGCTTCCTGTTTTGCCATGCAGAGTATTAAAAACACATGCCCTCAAGGGTCGAGGTTTAGTACAATTAATAAGTTTTACTACTTATTTCAGGACATTCTTAAGTGAAACTGGCATTTTTTTACTTCAAGTATGTAGTAGTCAACACTGCAGTGACTACTGGTACTTTGGTGCTACAGCCTTGGTTCATGCTAAGGTGCGAGCGGTTTTACCACCACTGTTTTTGCACTATCAGTGCAAAGGTCAACACAGTGAAAAAAGAAAAAAACAGTTTAGCATTATTATACAAATAGTTTTGACCTCACAGACCCCTGGGATCCATGAGCCACCATTTGAAGACCACTGACTTGGCTCAACAGTTCCATTTTATAAGTTGTAAGGAAACAGCGGCTGAGAAAGTTGCAGTGATCAGTTGACCTACAGCCATATAAGTACAACAGTGATATAGCAGAACATGGTCAGTTTAAATAAATATTTGTTGAATTGAGTTGATTTTAAATAGTTTAACTTGATTGAAAGGAATTAACATAAGTTTCTGAGGCTGAGACTCCTGCAGCTCGTATAAAGAAGAGGTTTTGACATGGCACATCCTACATAGATATCTTTTTGTATACTTCAAGGATCAACCATTTGAAATTGAAGCAATTCCATACTGCTAGTACAAGTTTTTGTTTTTAATTTTTTAAGAGAATAGGATCCATTTTATTTCCATTTATTTTTCTGGAACTTACTCAATTCATTTGTTCAATTTATGTCTATTTTCCTTTATGTAACAAAGGTTATCACCTTTATTTATTTATTTACCAATCTAATTTGGATGACTTTTTATTTATTTATTTATTTTTTATTATACATACATGTGGGGTACAACATTTATTTTCAATAATTCTGTACGATGTGTGGTGGTAAGATCAATATAGTTAGCTTATTCATCATTATGATACGTAATCATTCTTTGGGTCCGTTGACCAATTCCTCATTAGCCCCCTCCCTCTCCCCTCCCCTTCCCTTTTCCACCTCTAGTTTTCTAAAAGTTCTATGTATTACTGTGGTTGTTCTTTCTCTCTTTCTTTCTCTCTTTCTTTGTCTCCTTTATTGTTCATTTGTTTATTGATGGATTCAGCTCCCATTTATGAGTGAGAACACGCAGTATTTCTTTTTCTGTACCTGGGTTTTTTCACTTAGGATAATTTTCTCCAGGCTCATCCATGTTGTTGGAAGTGGTAGAATTTCATTCTTTTTAATGGCTGAGTAGTATTCTTTTTTAATTTTATTATTATTTTATTTTTGTCCTTTTTGAGACCGGCCGCACCACGCTCAGCCAGTGAGCGCACCGGCCATCCCTATATAGGATCCGAACCCGCGGCAGGAGCGCCGCTGTGCTCCCAGCGCCGCACTCTCCCGAGTGCGCCACGGGCTCACCCGGCTGAGTAGTATTCCATTGTGTATATGTACCACAATTTCCTTATCCAGTCATCCACTGATGGACATTTAGGTTGGTTCCGTCACCTAGCTATTGTAAAATAGAGCTGCAATAAACATGGGAGTGTAGGTATGCCTTCAACCTGATGTTTTATAATCCTTTGAATATATCCCCAGGAGTAGGATTGCTGGATCATATGGAAGTTTTATCTGTAGTTGTTTAAGGAACCTCCATACTGTTCTCCATAATGGCTGTACTAATTTACAGTCCCATCGACAGTGCAGAAGGGTTCCTCTCTCTCCACATCCTCGCCAGAATGTTATTCTCTGTCTTTTTATGATAGCCAGTCTGATTGGGGTAAGGTGATATCTCAGATTGGTTTTGATTTGCATTTCCCTGATGATTAGTGATGTTGAGCCTTTTTTCATGTACCTGTTGGCAATTTGTATGTCCTCCTTTGAGAAATGTGTATTCAGCTCCTTTGTCCATTTTTTAATTGGATTATTTGATTTTTTGCTGTAAAATTGCCTAAGCTCTTTGTGTATTCTGGATATTAATTCCTTGTCAGATGCATTTTTTGTAAATATTTTCTCCCATTCTGTAGGATGTCTTTTCACTCTATTGATTGTTGTCTTTGCTGTGCAGAAGCTTTTTTGTTATAATCCCATTTATTTATTTTTTCTTTTGTTGCCTGTGCTTTTAGGGTGTTATTCATAAAGTCATTGCCCAGTCCTAAATCCTGGAGCATTTTCCCTATGTTTTCTTCTAGGAGTTTTAAAGTTTCAGGCCCCATGTTTAGGTCTCTAATCCATTTTGAGTTGATTTTGGTATATGGTGAAAGGTACGGATCAAGTTTCATTCTTCTACATATGGATGTCCAGTTTTCCCAGCACATTTATTGAAGAGGCAGTCTTTTCCCCAATGTATGTTCTTGGTGCCTTTGTCAAAGATAGTTGGCTGTAAATATGTGGGTTGATTTCTGAGTTTTCTATTCTGTTCCACTGGTCTACATGTCTGTTTTTATGCCAGTATCATGCTGTTTTTGTTACTACAGATTTGTAATATAGTTTGAAGTCAGGAAGAGTAATGCCTCCGGCTTTACTTTTTTTGCTCAGGATTGCTTTGGATATTTGAGGTCTTTTGTTATTCCATATGAGTGTTAGGATTGCTTTTTCTATTTCTGTGAATAATGTCATTGGTATTTTGATGGGAATAGCATTGATTCTGTAGATGGTGTTGGGTAGTATGGACATTTTTACTACATTAATTCTTCCAACCCATGAACAAGGAATGTCTTTCCATCTCTTAGTGTCTTCTTTAATTTCTTCCAGTAGTGATTTGTGGCCCTCATTGTAGAGATCTTTCACCTTGTTGTTTAGATTTATTCCTAGGTTTTTTGTTTTTTGTTTTTTGTTTTTTTGGAGGTGGGGGGAGACTATTGTAAATGGGCTTACTTTCTTGATCTCTTTTTCTTCTAGTTTGTTGTTGGAGTATTAAAATGCTACTGATTTTTGTATGTTGATTTTGTATCCTGCAACCTTACTGAATTCATTTATTGGCCTAAGAGGTTTTTTTGTAGAGTTTTTTGTATTTTCTATATATAGAATCACTTCATCTGTGAACAGGGACAATTTGATTTCCTCCTTACCTATTTGGATGCCCTTTATTTCTTTCTCTTGTCTAATTGCACTGGCAAGTACTTCCAATACTATGTTAAAAAGGAGTGGAGAGAAAAGGCATCCTTTGTCTTATTCCTGATCTTAAGGGGAAAGCTTTCAGCTTTTCCTCATTTGAGATGATATTTGCAGTGGGTTTATTGTATGTGGCTTTTATTATGTTGAGATACCTTCCCTCTATACCTAATTTGTTGACAGTCTTTATCATGAAGGACTGTTGAATTTTGTCAAATGCTTTTTCTGCATCTATTGAGATGATCATATGGTTTTTGTCCTTCACTTTGTTGATGTGGTGTGTCACATTTATTGATTTATGTATGTTGAACCATCATTGCATTCCTGGGATGAATCCCACTTGATCATGATGTATAATCTTTTTGAAATGTTTCTGTATTGTGTTTGCTAGCATTTTGTTGAGGATTTTGGCCTGTAAATTCATCAAGGATATCAGCCTGTAGTTTTCCTTTTTTGTTGTATCTTTGTCTGGTTTGGTATCAGGGTGATGCTGGCTTCACAGAATGAGTTTGAGGAAATGGTTTCTGTTTCAATTTTTTGGAATAGTTTGGAAAGAACTGGTATTAATTCCTCTTTAAAGGTTTTGTAGAATTTAGCAGTGAAACCATCTGTTCCTGGGCTTTTCATTTTTGGAAGATTTCTGATTACTCCTTCAATCTTGTTGCTTGTTATTGGTCTGTTCAGTTTTCTATGTCTTCTTGGTTCAATCTTGGTAGTTTGTATATGTCAAGAAATGTATCCATTTCCTCCAGATTTTCAAATTTGTTGGTGTATAGTTGTTCATAGTAATCTCTAATGATTCCTTGTATTTCTGCAGTATCAGTTGTGATATTCCCTTTTTCGTTTCTGATTTTTGTTATTTGGGTCTTTTCTCTACTTTCTTTAGCAAGTTTGGCTAGGGGTTTGTGTATTTTGTTTATCTTCTCAAAAAACCAACTTTTTTTTCATTGATCTTTTGGTCTCTATTTCATTTGGCTCTGCTCTGATTTTAATTATTTCTTTCTGCCTTCTAACTTTTGGATTGGATTGTTCTTCTTTTTCTAGTTCCTTGAGGTGTAAAGTTAGGTTGTTTACTTGAAATATTTCTATTCTCTTGATGTAAGCATTTATTGCAATAAATTTTTCTCTTAGTACTGCTTTTGCAGTATCCCATAGATTTTGCTGTGATGTGTTGTTATGATGATTAGTTTCGAGAAATTTTTTGATTTCCTGTTTGATTTCTTCTTTAACCCATATGTCATTCAGAAGCATGTTGTTTAATTTCTAAGTATTTGTGTGATGTCCAAAGTTTCTTTTGTTATTAATTTCTAGCTTTAATCCATTGTGGTCTGAGAAGATGCATGGAATGATTTCAATTTTTAAAAATTTGTTGGTACTTGATATGTGACCTAATATGTAATCTGTCTTGGAGAATGTTCCATGTGTTGTTGAGAAGAATGTATATTCTCTGGTTGTTGGGTGAAATGTTCTATATATATCCACCAAGTCCAATTGGTCTAGAGTGTGGTTTAAATCCTGTGTTTCCCTATTGATTTGTTGCCTAGATGATCTTTCCAGTGTTGAGAGGTCAATGTTCAGGTCCCCAACTACTACAGTATTGAGGTCTAGCTCTGTCTTTAGGTGTAGTAATGTTTGCTTTATAAATCTGGGTGAACCAATTTTTCTGAATCTCACAAATCTTTTCAACTGAAGTACTTCAGAAATAGGATTATGTTTTTGAGAACCTCTATCCAATGAGAGCACACTGTGTAGGCATGGAATACTGTTTGAATACCAACCCAGTAAGAAATCTCAACTAGGAAGAAAAGGCTGTGGGTGGATCAATTAGAGATGGTGTCTATAGAAAGATCAGCTTAGTTATTACTTCAAGTTAAGAGTGAGATTGTGCAGTGGAGGCAAGGTCAGACCCATTAAGGAACTCTCCCTGCTGGTTCTCCAGTCCTGGGACTAATCTAGGCTAGCTACCTGGGTGGCCCCACCTGGCATGTGAGGTTCATGTGTTCTGAGCTATTTCAAATCTAAGTGATTGCTCACTGGGCTGTTAAATTGAGACCTACAAAAGAAAGGGATTATTAAGAATTACTGAATCATAAGTATGAAATAATTTAAGAAAACCTTTTAGTATGTTTATTTTTCACGGACAGTTACTAGTTATAGTTTTGTTTTTAACCAACTATTCTTCCTAGATAGAGATTTTTATAGTGAAAATCTAGCCCTACTAATAGCAAGGTCTGCCACATTCCTGTTGCTCTTGGTCACTTTAGCTGTTTTGACTTCTGTCCACTTTTATGTATTTCATATGTGTGTTGCAGGGGAGCTTGCATCCCCCTTGTATCTTTATTCATGCTATTATTCTCTTCTATTCTGATCATTCATATGTTTAGTCATCAGAGATTTTTGAGAACTTGCTATATAAAAGTCACTGTGCTAAGCACTGAAAATGCACAGCTGTGAATAAGATCTGGACCCTGCCCTTGAAAAGATCACAATCTAGAGGGAAGAAATAGATATTTCATCAAATAAATATATGAACCAGAGAAGAAGGAGCCCAGAGGGGACAGAAGATAACTCTAAGAGTATTGGGGAAAACTTTACAGGGGAAATTACATTTGATCCAGGACTCAGTGGGTGGGTAGGTTGGAGTTTGCCAGAAAGGGGGAAGGGCATTTCAAATAAAGAGAACAACATATGCAAAAGCTGAGGGTGATGAAAGATCATGGAATGTTCTGGAAACAGTTAGAAGTTCATTATGGCTGCAGCAGAGGGCAAACGACATGAAGTCACAGGAAATGAAGTAGTAGCCAAGCTCAATTCATGAAGAAACATACATACAGTATTTAGAGGTCAGAATAGTCCATCTTGCTAAGATCTATAAAGTGGCATGTGGCAGGGGAAAAATAGTATATGGACCACTGATCCAGATTATTTAGAAGCAGATTCAAATCATTAAGAAAAAATAAAATGTAGTACAAACACTCTTTCCCACTTCTCTGAATAATTATCTGATTGGTTAGGGTACACCTGACCAAGTCCGATTCTCGAAGTGGTATTTACATGCAGGTTTTAGGAATATCAGTAATTGGCAAACTATAAAGAACTCATGCAGTTTAGCTCTGATTCTTAATAGCTTGGTCCAAATCCTATATACACCACAGCCTTAGCATTTGTTACCTCAACCGACCTCTTCAGATGGTAATAGTGAGGCAAGAATCTGTTGCAAAGCAGTCTTAAAGCCCACTTCCAGTGTGAAGATCCGAACTGAAAATACACACCTGCAGCTTGTGAGGAAGGATTTGGGCAGAAAATGAGGGTTTAACATCCAGCAAACTAATAGGTTTGCTAGTTTGTGTTTTTTGCAATGTAGTAGATTAAGCAGTGAGCCCATCCAGAAAAGTCTATTCTCATGTAAAGTGAGATGGAAAGACTGGATCTCCAAGGACCATTCAGCTCTAACATTGCTATGAATCTAAGGCAGAGGAAAGACTTTCCATCTCCCTGGTCTACATAGTTTTCTGCCTATAGGCAGAATGCTTGACATCTTTTGGGATCTCTGCCAGCCCAAAGCCTATAATTTTGTAGTCTTCCTTTTCTGCAACTTGCTGTGGCCTTAGAGCAGTTAAATGTGTTACATGAATACATTCTCTTTCTACCTGTTCTACAGAATAATTTTGGATGGAACTGGGAAAATACAGATACGGAATCCAACAAGGAAAGAACAAGGAATATATGAATGTTCTGTAGCTAATCAGCACGGTTCAGATGTGGAAAGATCTTCTTTGCTCTATGCAGGTAATGCCCGTGGTTGAAATACAGTGTCCGCTTTTTTGTTTGTTTTAAACTCTGGAGCAGCGGTTCTCAAACTTTAGTGTGCATCGGAATCACCAGGAGGGCTTTTTAAAGTACAGATTGCTGGATGCTGCCCCCACAGCTTCTGACTCAGTAGGTTTGGGATGGAGTCTGAGAGCTAGCATTTTTAATGTGTTCCTAGGTTATGCCAATGCTGTTGTCTGAGGACCACACTCTGAAAACGGTTGCTGTACAGCTCGTTTTCTAAGAATTGGGAATTATGATGCAGGGTTTAATTGTCAGTTGATATTATGGACTTTGCATCTTTAAAGTCCCATCAGCCAATGAAAGAGAATGATTATCCTTCAAAAGTTGGTATATACCTGCCCATGACATACTTGTCAATCCTTAGAAACACCTCTGGGAAGTTGTAACTTTAAATTAGTGTATGTCTTCAGAGGAGGTGGACAGTGTCATTCTGATATTAGAATATGCTTTTATTGTAAAGGATACCAGAGTAAAGGAACATGTTTAGGAGGTAAAGATGTAGGCAATGCTTTCTTGTGGCAAGCTCATGTTTGGGGACTAAAATAAAACAAGAGCCATCTCCCAATTCCCTACTCTGTTTCTGGTACCTGTGACTCAAATAGACTAAAATGAGAAAAGGGACAATATCAGAGATTAGAATCCAGCATTTAGTCAACTAAGTGTTGAGCCTTGTGGCAGGCACTTTACATCTACAAACTGAAGAGGCTGGACCAGTTGATTTTAAAAGCCCCTTGAATCTGTATGGCTTACAGATTCTGAGTCCCTTCCCTGGGTGCCTTCCCAAGGCAAGGCCTTCAAGGCCTTAGTTTTCTGTGCCTTGATCCTCCTGGTTTGTTCTGTCCAGTGAACATCAGCTCCTAGCCAGAAAGCATCAGTTCCAAGGTTCTAGAATTCCAGAGTGGGGGTCGGGGAATGGGCACCCCTCTTGTAGCTCTGAAGTCTCTCCTTAAGTCCATCCCAGAACAATCCAGATTCCTGATAGAGCTGCTGTGAGGTCCTCAGGAGCCAGAGGATTAGCAGTGACAACCAAAGCCCTCTCCTAGCCAAAGGGTTCCTGTCTTTTCAGTTCTCAGGATAGCTTTCCACTGGCCCAGGCACTCCAGCAGAGAATGGAACATTTGGTTCCCCAAACATGACTGTCCTAGATTCTCTTCCCCAGAATATGTGGTTACCAACACAGCTCCTGAAGTGTCATTATTCTTTCATGCATTAAATATGTATAGATGATAAAACAGGTTAAGAAAGCTTTCCCTCCAGGAGCTCACATACTAATGACGGAGTAGGGAAACCAGCCATTGTGATAGTGCTGCAGTAGAGGACTGCTCTATCAAACTGCTCTCTGGCATGTGGCCTCCCCTGGCCACCACATGCTACTGAGAGACCCCTGGGCAACCAGCCCTTTCTCTGTCTCAACACCCATTACCCTGTGTAGTCACGGTGTCTCCTACTGGTCTGGGAGCTCCTTGAGGGCAAGAATGTGTGTTTTCTATCTTTGTATTCCCATTGTTAAGCTCAGGCACAAAGTATGTTTCCTGAGAGAGTTAATGGATTAAGCTGATAACCGAGTATCTAAATCCAAGGAAGTAAAAGTTCTTGAATGGATTCTTGATTCTTTAGGGCCTTGTTTTATTATTTTTTCCACATAAGTTTTATGTAGGTATTTGTTTCACATGAATTAAAATGCTAGCTTTGAATTTCTCTTGCACACAGTTTTAATACACTTGTCATAACCTCATGCAATCCCATAAATTGGGCACTTAAGATGTTTTCTCCCTTGAGACTTTCTGTAGTGTAGAGCAATGTAAATAATTTTAAGTAGGCCTCTTCACAGTTAGTAATCTTTAAATAGTAATGGCTTTTTAAATTTTGGATTGAAATGAGTTTATTTAAGTAGAGTAAGAAAGAGCCTCTGTGAACCACACATTGGTTGAGAGAACTGCAGTTGGAAGGGACCCAAGAGATATTCTAACTCATTTCCTTTTTTTCCCTGGGATTCAAACCGAAGTCCAGAGTGGGAAGATTTTGCCCAAGCACGCATCTTGTTAGAAGAGACTCAGCAAGAAACATAGCCTCCTACCTACCTGATCTTTGTCCAATATAACTTTGAGTGAGCTCTGAATCCTAGTTTCATTCTGGCATTGACACAGGTCACCCTGGTGCTGGCACTATATACAGAAAAACTTTATAAGGAATGTTTTAGGTACCACTTTTCTATTGAAAATGCTTGTTTGCATCTCCTTCTGTGACATTAGACTTTGTACTTATCAAGAGAGGGAGTACCTTTCATCTTGTTACCCTGGTGCAGGCCACAGAGTGGGCACTTGGTAAATGTTTAAATTGAGTACGTTCTTTTGTTATTCTTAGCTCAATGGGAGAAGGCTCCTGGAGGTTTCTCTACTCAAGATAATTTGTATCAGGGGACAACAGAATGGATCAGGACCTTCTGCCCTATCTCCATCAGCCCTCTCCCCCAATATCTCCCATCTCTCCTTCCATAAAAAGAGTTGGGTGGTGGTCTCGAGCCCTGGTGTGTTTTGACCCTGCTTTGACTCACCCGGGGCTGTGCAGCAGAGACATTATTCCTGCCCTGCTATGCATTTTTTGCTGCTTCTTAACTTCTGAATTCCTTCTTTTTCAGATTATCAAAGAGGGAATTTATCCTCACTTTTGGTTGTAAAACCAAAATATCCTCATGGTCTATATATAGTTGTTTCAGGTCCCTTAGAGAGATTTATGAACTCCTCAAAACTGAGATCTACTGTTTTAAGGTGACTTGCATATGCCCTTGATTTACTATGCATTGACTTAACTCTCTGGACACCTGTATTTCCCTAGTTTCTAAGTTCTAATGAGATACCTGTAGTTGTACCCACTTGAGATGAATCTTGCCTAGACCGGGGACACAGACAGCCCAGGGACACTGGAGGAGCCTTTGCTCTGCTCTCAGTAACAAAGTGAAGGTGGACATAATGAAGGGAGCTGAGGACACACTCACTCAGCTTTCAGGCTCTCCCTCCCCTGTAATGATCAGCTAGCTCCTTGCCATGTTTCCAGAGCTGCACCTTTGGCTCCACAAACAGTGGAAATTTGCTAACCCCCAAGGTATTATTTTTTACCTCTTGGAAGTCCCTATGGTGTTTGGCCTATGTACACTTTAAAAAAATCTCTCCAGCCTCCCAACTGACTCCACCCACAAATATGTGAGTTTTCTGGCAAAGTACACCTACCATTACCAAATGGGCCAGCATTTTCTGGCCAAGGCAAGGAGAAAAGCAGAACGGAACTTTGCAGATGCCAAGCCACAAATGTCTAAGGTTTCTATAGCCCCACACCTGCAGAGGATTCTGAAAAATAGATCTGACTTCTATTAAGAGAAACCTCAACTTTTAACATTACTTCTAATTTTTTTACTTCCACAGTAGTTTAAAATCAGGCTTTCAGAGAAATGAGCCACTGGAAGAATTGGAGTGCATTATTTGCTATTGTAAGTCAAGGAATGCATTGGGTAGAAGAGGTTTTCGTGAGTAAAGCCTCCAGCATAGGCCATTAAACTTGCCTAAGTTTTGTTCTGTCATGCAGGCCCAGTCAGAGGGTGGGCCCTCTCCAACCCCTCCCTGACTCCAGTGCTCCCCGCCCCCCGCCCCACCCTGCCCTTTGGCGCCGTCAGTGTGTGGTGCTGCTTGCTGGCCGGGGCCTGGATGAAGCTCCGGGTTGGGAGCACTCATCTCCTCCACCCCACACTCCAGCTTTCAGCTCTTACTAGAAACTGCCCCGTTTGGTCTTTCTTCACCTGGCAGTCATCCCCTGTGAACTCAGACCCCAGGAACTCACTAGGAGTTCTTTCCTTTTCAAAATAAACCTGCCTCTGGATGAACTACAATCATTTTGAGTTATGTGCCTTTTTAAACAAACCTGTAGTGAACTTATAGTGTTTTCTTATGGGCAGAAGCCATAATTACCTTAGCTTTCTATGGAGATTCATCTTTTTAAGGACAGGTGGTGAAACTGATGACAGTTAGAAAACTAGGGTTTTACAGGCAATTCTGTCACTAGCTTGTATATAACCATAGGTGAGTCATGTATCTTTCTTACCCTCATCTCTAAAACAGGAAATACACTGTATTAATGGAAGAAGAGACTTTGGTTATCATCTAATCCACTCCATTTTATAGATGGGACATTATAACATAATTTACTAAACTGTGTACTTCCTTACAAATTACATTTTCATATTACATTTCGGGATTTCTGTAAATCAATGGTATATATAAGTTTTTCTCTCTCTTTTCAGTTGCCCTTAAAATATTTTTCACTAATTATAATGAACTCATTTTTGTAGATCCCATGGCTCATATTCATAACTTGTAGACAGATTCATATTTCTTTGTTATAGCCAAATATGTTTTATTTGACCCATGTGGTATAGATATTGATAGTGATTATCTCTAATCACACTTAGAGATAATTCTAATAACTATATGAAATAATAAGACCTGAAAAATCTGTGTATTTCTAAAGGTTAAAAGTTCTAAGTTGCAGAAGTTATTTGTTTTGCTCTTTAAAAAATGTTTCTAAAAGGGGTTAAACTGCACCCTCTCTGCCACCTTCTGGTAAGAAAGGAAACTCCTCTGAGAAAAATGCTTAGTAACACGAATAGCTGCAGGTTTTATTTTTTATCATGTTAATGTATTACTTATGCTATAATTTTCTGTTGTGTGCGTCTTCTGCATTTTCTTTGTCTTATTCCTTAAGCTCATCAAAGATGCAGTCGGTGTGAGTCCTGCTGTAAAGTGTTTTGTTTTGTGTCATGCTCCTCTTCAGTCTCTCAGAAGCTCTCTTGGTCCACAGCTTGGAAGGAGGCTGAGCTAGGAAGAAGGTGATTCCCAAATGGATGGCACTGGCAAAGCCATCAATGGCCCAGCTCCAAAAGTAGAAAATCTCTTAAACATAAGCTG